TTTTTTTATTAATAGAGGTTAGTTTCAGAGGTTAGAAATATTTTAGTTCAATAGTGAATGATATCCATTTTGTTTTCAATTTTTATTATTTAATATAATGCTTTTTTTAATAACTTTCTGTTCTAATCTTTCACTCACGATAAATATACTCACGAATACAAGAGGGATGCACACTTTTTCTCCATGACAGGATTTTCCCGTCGATTGAGCACTTTCACGTAGTCTACCTAGTTAACTTGCAACATGAACACATGGGGTAGTTCATACTTTGTAAGGTATTCTTATGTGTCGTTGATAATCACAGGGGATACGTGTAATCCAATCTAGCTTACTATAGGGCATTAACCCGTATTTCATAAAAGCGAATGAAGTAGATATTACATTTTAAGAGAATTACTTTCAAAGTAATAAATTAATGATGAAGAATAAATTATTTTATATATTATATACTTTATATATTATATTATTATTTTATAAATTATTTTAAGTAAGTATTAGTATATTATAATTATATTTAGTAATTGTATTTAAAAAATTAATTAGAATATCAGTTATATTTTTGTTGAATGTACAATTGTACAATTTTCTTTTTTCTTTTCTGAAAAAGTAAATAATAGAACTGCATTTGATATTTCATTAAGATAAATTGTCCTTTAAACAAGATTGGAAAGTAATTTGATTTCATTTAATTACATTACAACTCACAACTATTCTAACTCTGAACAAAATTCTTATCAATCAAACGAGATCAAGTAAAGGCAAATAAAAATCTCATATTGCTCCTTGTTTTGCTATAGTTGAACTGATGCTTGATAAAAACCTGTCGGACTATATCCCACGTTTTATTGAAAGTGAACCCATGAAGCTTATCGATTCAAGCGGATAATGTAACTTAATTTAGAGCTGTCACGAACGTTACATAAAAAAAAAAAAGACTTGCGAAAGGAAGTTCATTCTATGTATAATTAAGGATACTTGACGTTTGAACAAGAGAGATTTCATCGAGCAACCTGTCGGTTTTTTCTATAAATTGCAACAATTATCCAGAGAAACATATTGAATGTAGTGACGCATGATCGACGTTCATACATCGTAAAAAACTGGGAAGAAAAAAATAGTTTGTCGTATCTGTGAAAAGAAACGTTTATAAAGATTGCGAATGATTGCCGGCGACTTTATGTTGGACACACCAACATTAACGAAGCTTCTGCGACGACGATTCCAGTGATGTAAGCATGTGAGTTTATAGCGGTGACCGTTCATAGAGTCTGTCTTCCTCCTTCTAACAGCTCAGGTGCGACATAATGATTGTAAACGCATCTTTTCCATCGCGATGCTGTGTAATTCCACAAAATTCTGTTACGTTTCAGGCGTAACACGAGACGAGTTGTTTTAGTCTCTTGTATTAGTCTCTTATTTTGCAATTAATCTCTAATAGAAGTAAATAATTTTTGTTTGCTAGTCAATGATTCAAGAGTGAAATAACTAATTAAAGAGTTGTGCGTAGTACATAAAAGACTTTGGAAACTGGATGTGAAGTGTCACATAATTCAACATTTAAAACATGAGGCAGTTTTCATTATCCAAATCTAATAACTTTTTCAAAGCTCAAGTTGTCCTACTTGATCGTTTCATAAGGCAGCAACTTTTACACGTATTCGGATTTCACTAGACTCATGAATATTTAAAGTCCATTCTACAACGCGAAGATCTTTCAACAAATACAGTAAAATCTCATTTCTATACCGAGCCACGATAATTTTTCTTTGCAATAGACGCATTTTTAAAGATGTGTCGATGAGAATTTGCAAATTATAAATTTGCAGACGCAGTGAGAATTAGTGAGAATAAGCAAGACTAAATGACAAGCTAATATTTTAACGAGAATTAACCGTGTTAGAATGTTTCACTTGTTGATGTAACTTTTGTCTTGCAAAAATAGATAAAGATTTTATGAGGAAAAAATACATATATGAGATGGGAGAAGGTTAAATCACTTCCATTTACAGCTGAGTCAATCTTTCTTTCGGAGTTTCCCAAAGCCACTATTCTAATAAAAGGAAAACAGGCACTTAAAATATTCGATCGTTTACGGAAAGGTAGATTAAAAAAAAAAAAAAAAAAGAAGAAAAAGAAAGAAAATGAGAATTATTCCAATTTTGTAAGAAATAAAAATTTTCAAAAAAAATTTTTATCTTTTAAAATAAAAAAAAAATCTCAATTTGAATAAAAGTCGCTCGAAGAAACTTAATTGTTAGGTTTGGGGAAAGAGGTAGAATATTTTCTATTGTAGAGATAGAGATATCTTTTTTTATAAAAAATTTTCTGCAA